TATGGGCAATGTTAGTCTACGGGCAATGTTAGTCTACGGGCAATGTTAGTCTACAGGCAATATAAGTCTACGGGCAATGTTAGTCTATGGGCAATGTTAGTCTACGGGCAATGTTAGTCTACGGGCAATGTTAGTCTACAGGCAATGTTAGTCTACGGGCAATGTTAGTCTACAGGCAATGTTAGTCTACAGGCAATGTTAGTCTAGGGCAATGTTAGTCTACGGGCAATGTTAGTCTACGGGCAATGTTAGTCTATGGGTAATGTTAGTCTACGGGCAATGTTAGTCTACGGGCAATGTTAGTCTAGGGGCAATGTTAGTCTACGGGCAATGTTAGTCTACCTGTAATGTAAGTCTACGCGCAATGTTAGTGTACGGGCAATGCAAGTCTATGTGCAATGTTAGTCAATGGGTAATGTTAGTCTACGGGCAATGTTAGTCTACGGGCAATGTTAGTCTACGGGCAATGTTAGTCTAGGGGCAATGTTAGTCTACGGGCAATGTTAGTCAATGGGTAATGTTAGTCTATGTGCAATGTTAGTCAATGGGTAATGTTAGTCTATGTGCAATGTTAGTCTACGGGCAATGTTAGTCAATGGGTAATGTTAGTCTACGGGCAATGTTAGTCTACGGGCAATGTTAGTCTACGGGCAATGTTAGTCTACTGGCAATGTTAGTCTCTGTGCAATGGTAGTCTACGGGTAATGTTAGTCTACGGGCAATGTTAGTCTACGGGCAATGTTAGTCTACGGGCAATGTTAGTCTACGGGCAATGTTAGTCTACGGGCAATGTTATTCTACGGGCAATGGTAGTCTACGGGTAATGTTAGTCTACGGGCAATGTTAGTCTATGAGCAATGTTAGTCTACGGGCAATGTAAGTCTACGGGCAATGTTAGTCTATGGGTAATGTTAGTCTACGGGCAATGTTAGTCTATGAGCAATGTTAGTCTACGGGCAATGTAAGTCTACGGGCAATGTTAGTCTATGGGTAATGTTAGTCTACGGGCAATGTTAGTCTACGGGCAATGATAGTCTACGGGCAATGTTAGTCTACGGGTAATGTTAGTCTACGGGCAATGTTAGTCTATGGGTAATGTTAGTCTACGGGCAATGTAAGTCTACGGGCAATGTTAGTCTACAGGCAATGTTAGTCTACGGGCAATGTTAGTCAATGGGCAATGTTAGTCTGCAGGCAATGCAAGTCTATGGGCAATGTTAGTGGGATGCCGTAGACGATGAGAGTGGGCCTGTCGCTTTTTCTCAGTCAGCCTGAACACCTCAGCCAGGGTCTCTGGGGAAGTCTGGACCGCGTACCCAAGGCAGCCATTGCAGCTGCATGAGCCACAGTCCTAAACCTCGCCCATTTCCCCTCGACATCAGGAGGAGTGTGGGACGATGCCAACCCCAGCTTCAAGCAATGATGGTATTCTTGCTTCCAACTTTGATCACCTAGCTGAGACCAGGCCACTGTGGGTTTGAATGGGGTCCTGGGTGTATACCCACCACTGGAGTGGAAGAATGGCAGGCGCATCTTACAGATGACAAGCCGATGGTCAGTGGGCAGATCAGCTCCATGGTAGGTCCTGATGTCAAGGACATGGGCCTGCATCTGCTGTTCCATCACTGTATAGTCCAGCAGATGTTCTTGCTTGGACCCGGCATGCATCCATTAAGTTGTGTGGATACGCCGATGCCGAAACAGCGTGTTGGTATTTACAAGCCCATGGGCTGCACAAAAGTCTAGCAGCCTTCTACCGTTGTTATTGAGCTGATCTGGCCCATGCCTTCCAATCACTCCAGACCAGATGCCAGCATCATGACTACCTCGGGCATTGAAGTCACCCAACAGGATGACTATTCCGAGGGGCCACTTTAGCTAGCACCTGCGACAGGAGGTCATAGAAGGCATCGGCCTTGCCTGCATCCCTCCACGGATGTTCATCTTCGGTGGGGGTATAAGTAACCACGATCACCACTCCTCGGCTCTGGTTGATGGGAAGGTGAGCCCAAAGTAGCCTGGGGCTTACAGCTTCCCACACCTCACCGCCACGCTCCCACGCCCCCTTCATTTCTTTGTTCAAAAGAAGAGCCACACCCTGTTGTTTGGTAGTCTCCTGCCCCTAGTAGAGGACTGTCCATCCCTCATGGTGGCAGGAGCCAGAGCCGGTCCACCGGACCTCCTGACTGCCACAGAGATCCAGGTGGTACCGGTCCAGCTCCCGACAGAGGAGTGGCAGCCTCTCCTCCGTAGTGAGCGTTCGAACATTCCACGTGGCCATCCGTAGTGGCTTTTCGTTGTTTCTGGAGGAGCCCCGAGGGTAAAGATTCAATCTCCTGACTCTGCCAAATGGGGTTTGGCCAGGAGACGTCATAGACGCCTGTCCCCCCGGGGCCTCCGGCACAAGCTAATTAATTAGATATTTTTGTACGTGGTTTTGTGGTAATTAAATGAAGGTGGAGGGGGTTACCAACCCCTCGCACCCGGCCACAGCCGCCATTTGGCCACTGGTGGATACCAATGCCTTGAGGGGAAAGGCCAATCGGAATTGGCCCTCCCCCCACGGCACTGTCCACGACAGCGTTGCCCGTCTGGCACCACGAGGAGGTACAGTGAAGGAAAAAAAGTATTTGATCCCCTGCTAATTTTGTACGTTTGCCTACTGACAAAGCAATGATCAGTCTATAATTTTAGTGGTAGGTTTATTTGAAAAGTGAGAGACAGAATAACAACAAAATCCAGAAAAACGCATGTCAAAAATGTTATGAATTGATTTGCATTTTAATGAGGGAAATAAGTATTTGACCCCTCTGCAAAACATGACTTAGTACTTGGTGGTAAAACCCTTGTTGGCAATCACAGAGGTCAGTCGTTTCTTGTAGTTGGCCACCAGGTTTGCACACATCTCAGGAGGGATTTTGTCCCACTCCTCTTTGCAGATCTTTTCCAAGTCACTAAGGTTTCGAGGCTGACGTTTGGCAACTCGAACCTTCAGCTCCCTCCACAGATTTTCTATGGGATTAAGGTCTGGAGACTGGCTAGGCCACTCCAGGACCTTAATGTGCTTCTTCTTGAGCCACTCCTTTGTTGCCTTGGCCGTGTGTTTTGGGTCATTGTCATGCTGGAATACCCATCCACGACCCATTTTCAATGCCCTGGCTGAGGGAAGGAGGTTCTCACCCAAGATTTGACGGTACATGGCCCCGTACATCGTCCCTTTGATGCGGTGAAGTTGTCCTGTCCCCTTAGCAGAAAACACATCTCCCCAAGCATAATGTTTCCACCTCCATGTTTGACGGTGGGGATGGTGTAGGGGGTTGTTTTTTGCCGGACATATACACATACACGTCAACACACACACATACATACACAAACAACAATCGCCATTCGCCACTAAGTGGCGGTGATGTCACCACGGCGCTTGTGCCAGGCTATGTGCACGTTGAGGCCACGTGAAGTGTCGAACGCCCGCTGGCAGGAGGTCACGGGGCAGACCCAGCAGGTGCCACGGTTGAGATGACTGAGATGACTGGCTGATGCACCTCACGTGCCCCCCGACGCACATACACAACCCGAAACGGCCAGTATGAACCTGACACAGCCGTCATTATCCATTAATCTGACACGGCCATTATGAATCTGAATTTGCGAATATGAACCCGACACGGTCATTATGAATCTGACACGGCCATCATGAATCTGACACGGCCACCATGAATCTGACACGGCCACCATGAATCTGACACGGCCATTATGAATCTGAATTTGCGAATATGAACCCGACACGGCCGTCATGAATCTGACACGGCCACCATGAATCTGACACGGCCATCATAAATCTGACACGGCCACCATGAATCTGACACGGCCACCATGAATCTGACACGGCCATCATGAATCTGACACGGCCACCATGAATCTGACACGGCCATCATGAATCTGACACGGCCATCATGAATCTGACACGGCCATCATGAATCTGACACGGCCACCATGAATCTGACACGGCCACCATGAATCTGACACGGCCACCATGAATCTGACGCGGCCATCATGAATCTGACACGGCCACCATGAATCTGACACGGCCACCATGAATCTGACACGGCCATCATGAATCTGACACGGCCACCATGAATCTGACACGGCCATCATGAATCTGACACGGCCACCATGAATCTGACACGGCCACCATGAATCTGACGCGGCCATCATGAATCTGACACGGCCATCATGAATCTGACACGGCCACCATGAATCTGACACGGCCACCATGAATCTGACACGGCCACCATGAATCTGACACGGCCACCAGGAATCTGACACGTCCACCACGAATCTGACACGGCCACCGTGAATCTGACACGGCCACCGTGAATCTGACACGGCCACCATGAATCTAACACGGCCACCATGAATCTGACATGGCCACCATGAATCTGACACGGCCATCATTAATCTGACACGGCCATCACGAATCTGACACGGCCACCATGAATCTGACACGGCCACCATGAATCTGATACGGCCACCATGAATCTGACGCGGCCACCATGAATCTGACACGGCCACCGTGAATCTGACACGGCCACCATGAATCTGAAACAGCCACCATGAATCTGATACGGCCACCATGAATCTGACACGGCCACACGGCCACCATGAATCTGACACGGCCATCATTAATCTGACACGGCCATCACGAATCTGACACGGCCACCGTGAATCTGACACGGCCACCATGAATCTGATACGGCCACCATGAATCTGACGCGGCCACCATGAATCTGACACGGCCACCGTGAATCTGACACGGCCACCATGAATCTGAAACAGCCACCATGAATCTGATACGGCCACCATGAATCTGACACGGCCACACGGCCACCATGAATCTGACACGGCCATCATGAATCTGACACGGCCATCACGAATCTGACACGGCCACCGTGAATCTGACACGGCCACCATGAATCTGACACGGCCACCGTGAATCTGACACGGCCACCGTGAATCTGACACGGCCACCGTGAATCTGACACGGCCATCATCATGAGCCTCGACCTTCAACCCCCGGATTTCCGGAACTTGTTTTTAGTCCCCGGAACTAAAAAAGAAAGTGCTTTGCGTAGCTCCACCCCACCGCTCCCCAGCGCGCGTTTTCCACCCGGACGCCATCGGAGGACGGTGCCCTCCGCCGCCCCCAGCCAAGCGCGTGAGTACAGTGCGCGCGTACAGTGTCGGCTTGTGAACTTTTTAATAAATTTTCGTTAATTTTTAGTTAAATTTTTTCGTTAACTTTTGTTAGCTTCGTTAACTTAGTTAACACTAGTACACACACACACATGCGCAAGACAAAGATCCCCCGTGTAGCCTCTAGCAGGGCTGTAGGGGCAAGTGCTGTTAGCAGTAGCGAGTAGCAGCAACACCTATACACAGACAAAGATCCCCCGTGTAGCCTCTAGCAGGGCTGTAGGGGCAAGTGCTGTTAGTAGCGAGTAGCAGAATCACCTATACACAGACAAAGATCCCCAGGTAGCCTCTAGCAGGGCTGTAGGGGCAAGTGCTGTCAGTAGCGAGTAGCAGCAGCACCTACACACAGACAAAGCTCCCCCAGGTAGCCTCTAGCAGGGCTGTAGGGGCAAGTGCTGTTAGTAGGTAGCGAGTAGCAGCAGCACCTACACACAGACAAAGCTCCCCCAGGTAGCCTCTAGCAGGGCTGCAGAGAGGAAACAAGATGATGCTCGGTATGGTCGGCACTTTTCTTCGTTCATCATTTCGTAACCCCCCCCCTCCTCCTCCTCCCCCCCCCCTTTTTAAATGAAAGATTTAACAAAAGATTTCACGCTCTGCTGTCCTTACTCCTTCCCTATCTCTCTCTCTCTCTCAGCCCCCCCTCTCTCTCTCTCTCTACTCCATATCGCTCTCGCTCTCTCCCTCACTCTCTCTCGCTCTTTCTTTTTAACAACTACGACAAGTGCTGCATCCGCACGCAGCGGTCCCACGGCCTCCCACGGGTAGATCACAATCTGCACGCACAGGCAGAGATCCCTCGACCTGTAGAGTCCCGCTGCCGGGGTTCTCTGGAGGCAACGTTCCTGACACCGTGACCCCGACCGGGCACCAGCTGAAGAGGATGGCAGAGCTTCATAGCTCATCGGATTTCTCGTCCGGGATAGATTGTGATGTCACACTCTCCCTCCCCTCCACTCCACTCACTCCCTCCCCTCCACTCGCTCCCTCCCCTCCCTCCCCTTCACTCCCCTCCCTCCCTCCATCCCTCCCCTCCCTCCCCTCCCCTCCCTCCCCTCCCTCCCCTCACTCCCTCCCTCCCCTCACTCCTCCCTCCCCTCACTCCCTCCCCTCCCTCCACTCCCTCCCTCCCTCCCCTCCCTCCCCTCACTCCCTCCCCTCCACTCCCTCCCCTCCACTCCCCTCCCTCCACTCCCTCCCTCCCTCCCTCACCACCCCCCTCCCTCCCTCCCTCCCCTCCCCTCCCTCCCTCCACTCCCCTCCCTCCCTCACCACCCCTCCCCTCCCTCCCTCCCTCCCTCCCCTCCCTCCCCTCCCTCCCCTCCACTCCCTCCCCTCCACTCCCTCCCTCCACTCTCCTCACTCCCTCCCCTCCACTCCCTCCCTCCACTCTCCTCCCTCCCTCCACTCCCCTCCCTCCCTCACCACCCCTCCCCTCCCTCCCTCCCTCCCTCCCTCCCCTCCCTCCCCTCCCTCCCCTCCACTCCCTCCCTCCTCCCTCCCCTCCCTCCCTCCCTCCCCTCCCTCCCTCCCTCCCTCCCCTCCACTCCCTCCCTCCACTCTCCTCACTCCCTGCCCTCCCCTCCCTCCCTCCCTCCCCTCCCTCCCCTCCCTCCCTCCCTCCCTCCCCTCCCTCCCCTCCCTCCCCTCCCTCCCCTCCCTCCCCTCCCTCCCCTCCACTCCCCTCCACTCCACTCCCTCCCCTCCCTCCCCTCCACTCCCCTCCCTCCCCTCCCTCCCCTCCCTCCCCTCCACTCCCCTCCACTCCACTCCCTCCCCTCCCTCCCCTCCCCTCCCTCCCTCCCTCACCTCCCCTCCCTCCCTCCCTCCCCTCCCTCCCTCCCTCCCTCCCTCACCTCCCCTCCCTCCCTCCCCTCCCTCCCCTCCCTCTGCTCGCTCCCCACAGGCACCGCCGAGTGGGAGATGGAGCCGCGTCTGCACCTCTGGGTACGTGGGTGGAGCGCTTGGGGTGGTCCGGTCACTCTGGAGCACCTTGCAGGGTCCGCTCGCACGGAGACAGAGAGAGACAGGGGGAAGACTCGGAGAGAGAGGACGACTCGGAGAGAGAGACAGAGAAAGGACGACTCATAGAGACACAGAGAGAGAGAGAGAGACAGAGTGACTCAGAGAGAGAGAGAGTGACTCATAGAGAGAGAGGACGACTCAGAGAGAGAGACAGAGAAAGGACGACTCATAGAGACACAGAGAGAGAGACAGAGTGACTCAGAGAGAGAGAGAGAGAGTGACTCATAGAGAGAGAGGACGACTCAGAGAGAGAGACAGAGAAAGGACGACTCATAGAGACACAGAGAGAGAGAGACAGAGTGACTCAGAGAGAGAGAGAGAGTGACTCATAGAGAGAGAGGACGACTCAGAGAGAGAGAGACAGAGAAAGGACGACTCATAGAGACACAGAGAGAGAGAGAGAGACAGAGTGACTCAGAGAGAGAGAGAGTGACTCATAGAGAGAGAGGACGACTCAGAGAGAGAGACAGAGAAAGGACGACTCATAGAGACACAGAGAGAGAGACAGAGTGACTCAGAGAGAGAGAGTGACTCATAGAGAGAGAGGACGACTCAGAGAGAGAGACAGAGAAAGGACGACTCATAGAGACACAGAGAGAGAGAGAGACAGAGTGACGCAGAGAGAGAGAGAGAGAGTGACTCAGAGAGAGAGTGACTCAGAGAGAGAGAGAGTGACTCAGAGAGAGAGTGACTCAGAGAGAGAGTGACTCAGAGAGAGAGTGACTCAGAGAGGACGACTCAGAGAGAGAGAGAGTGACTCAGAGAGAAAGGACGACTCAGAGAGAGAGAGACAGAGAAAGGATGACTCATAGAGACACAGAGAGAGAGACAGAGTGACTCAGAGAGAGAGAGTGACTCAGAGAGAGAGGGCGACTCAGAGAGAGAGACAGAGAAAGGACGACTCATAGAGACACAGAGAGAGAGAGACAGAGTGACTCAGAGAGAGAGAGAGTGACTCATAGAGAGAGAGGACGACTCAGAGAGAGAGACAGAGAAAGGACGACTCATAGAGACACAGAGAGAGAGAGACAGAGTGACTCAGAGAGAGAGAGAGAGAGACTCATAGAGAGAGAGGACGACTCAGAGAGAGAGACAGAGAAAGGACGACTCATAGAGACACAGAGAGAGAGAGACAGAGTGACTCAGAGAGAGAGAGTGACTCATAGAGAGAGAGGACGACTCAGAGAGAGAGACAGAGAAAGGACGACTCATAGAGACACAGAGAGAGAGAGACAGAGTGACTCAGAGAGAGAGACAGGGGGAAGACTCGGAGAGAGAGGACGACTCAGAGAGAGAGAGAGACAGAGAAAGGACGACTCATAGAGACACAGAGAGAGAGAGACAGAGTGACTCATAGAGAGAGAGGACGACTCGGAGAGAGAGGACGACTCAGAGAGAGAGGACGACTCAGAGAGAGACAGAGAAAGGACGACTCATAGAGACACAGAAAGAGAGAGAGTGACTCAGAGAGAGAGAGGACGACTCAGAGAGAGAGACAGAGAAAGGACGACTCATAGAGACACAGAGAGAGAGAGAGAGACAGAGTGACTCAGAGAGAGAGAGAGTGACTCAGAGAGAGAGAGAGTGACTCATAGAGAGAGAGAGAGTGACTCAGAGAGAGAGAGACTCAGAGAGTGACTCAGAGAGAGAGTGACTCATAGAGAGACAGGGGGAAGACTCGGAGAGAGAGGACGACTCAGAGAGAGAGACAGAGAAAGGACGACTCATAGAGACACAGAGAGAGAGAGACAGAGTGACTCAGAGAGATAGAGAGAGAGTGACTCATAGAGAGAGAGGACGACTCAGAGAGAGAGGACGAATAAGAGAGAGAGGACGACTCAGAGAGAGAGAGAGGACGACTCAGAGAGAGAGGACGAATAAGAGAGAGAGAGGACGAATCAGAGAGAGAGAGAGGACGACTCAGAGAGAGACAGGGGGGAGACTCGGAGAGAGAGGACGACTCAGAGAGAGTGACAGAGAAAGGACGACTCATAGAGACACAGAGAGAGAGAGTGACTCAGAGAGAGAGAGAGAGAGTGACTCATAGAGAGAGAGGACGACTCAGAGAGAGAGACAGAGAAAGGACGACTCATAGAGACACAGAGAGAGAGAGAGACAGAGTGACTCAGAGAGAGAGAGTGACTCATAGAGAGAGAGAGTGACTCAGAGAGAGAGACTCAGAGAGAGAGAGTGACTCAGAGAGAGAGTGACTCATAGAGAGACAGGGGGAAGACTCGGAGAGAGAGGACGACTCAGAGAGAGAGACAGAGAAAGGACGACTCATAGAGACACAGAGAGAGAGAGAGACAGAGTGACTCAGAGAGAGAGAGAGTGACTCATAGAGAGATAGGACGACTCAGAGAGAGAGGACGAATAAGAGAGAGAGGACGACTCAGAGAGAGAGAGAGGACGACTCAGAGAGAGAGGACGAATAAGAGAGAGAGGACGAATCAGAGAGAGAGAGGACGACTCAGAGAGAGACAGGGGGGAGACTCGGAGAGAGAGGACGACTCAGAGAGAGAGACAGAGAAAGGACGACTCATAGAGACACAGAGAGAGAGAGACAGAGTGACTCAGAGAGAGAGAGAGAGAGACTCATAGAGAGAGAGGACGACACAGAGAGAGAGACAGAGAAAGGACGACTCATAGAGACACACAGAGAGAGAGACAGAGTGACTCAGAGAGAGAGAGAGAGACTCAGAGAGAGAGAGGACGACTCAGAGAGAGAGACAGAGAAAGGACGACTCATAGAGACACAGAGAGAGAGAGAGACAGTGACTCAGAGAGAGAGAGAGAGTGACTCATAGAGAGAGAGGACGACTCAGAGAGAGAGACAGCGAAAGGACGACTCATAGAGACACAGAGAGAGAGAGACAGAGTGACTCAGAGAGAGTGACTCAGAGAGAGAGAGGACGACTCAGAGAGAGAGAGAGACAGAGAAAGGACGACTCATAGAGACACAGAGAGAGAGAGACAGAGTGACTCAGAGAGAGAGAGAGTGACTCATAGAGAGAGAGGACGACTCAGAGAGAGAGAGACAGAGAAAGGACGACTCATAGAGACACAGAGAGAGCGAGACTGAGTGACTCAGAGAGAGAGAGAGAGAGAGTGACTCATAGAGAGAGAGAGGACGACACAGAGAGAGAGACAGAGAAAGGACGACTCATAGAGACACACAGAGAGAGAGACAGAGTGACTCAGAGAGAGAGAGAGAGAGAGAGACTCAGAGAGAGAGAGGACGACTCAGAGAGAGAGACAGAGAAAGGACGACTCATAGAGACACAGAGAGAGAGAGAGACAGAGTGACTCAGAGAGAGAGAGAGAGAGTGACTCATAGAGAGAGAGAGGACGACTCAGAGAGAGAGACAGCGAAAGGACGACTCATAGAGACACAGAGAGAGAGAGACAGAGTGACTCAGAGAGAGTGACTCAGAGAGAGAGAGGACGACTCAGAGAGAGAGACAGAGAAAGGACGACTCATAGAGACACAGAGAGAGAGAGACAGAGTGACTCAGAGAGAGAGAGAGTGACTCATAGAGAGAGAGGACGACTCAGAGAGAGAGACAGAGAAAGGACGACTCATAGAGACACAGAGAGAGAGAGACTGAGTGACTCAGAGAGAGAGAGAGACTCATAGAGAGAGAGAGGACGACTCAGAGAGAGAGACAGAGAAAGGACGACTCATAGAGACACGGAGAGAGAGAGACAGAGTGACTCAGAGAGAGAGAGAGTGACTCATAGAGAGAGAGGACGACTCAGAGAGAGAGACAGAGAAAGGACGACTCATAGAGACACAGAGAGAGAGAGACAGAGTGACTCAGAGAGAGAGACAGGGGGAAGACTCGGAGAGAGAGGACGACTCAGAGAGAGAGAGACAGAGAAAGGACGACTCATAGAGACACAGAGAGAGAGAGACAGAGTGACTCATAGAGAGAGAGGACGACTCGGAGAGAGAGGACGACTCAGAGAGAGAGGACGACTCAGAGAGAGAGACAGAGAAAGGACGACTCAGAGACACGGAGAGAGAGACAGAGTGACTCAGAGAGAGAGAGAGTGACTCATAGAGAGAGAGGACGACTCAGAGAGAGAGACAGAGAAAGGACGACTCATAGAGACACAGAGAGAGAGAGAGACAGAGTGACTCAGAGAGAGAGAGAGTGACTCATAGAGAGAGAGGACGACTCAGAGAGACAGAGAGAGAGAAAGGACGACTCATAGAGACACAGAGAGAGAGACAGAGTGACTCAGAGAGAGAGAGAGTTCATGTGCAGTGTTAGTCTATGTGCAGTGTTAGTCTATGTGCAGTGTTAGTCTATGGTGCAGTGTTAGTCTATGTGCAGTGTTAGTCTATGTGAGTGTTAGTCTATGTGCAGTGTTAGTCTATGTGTAGTGTTAGTCTATGGTGCAGTGTTAGTCCGGGTGCAGTGTTAGTCTATGTGCAGTGTTAGTCTATGTGCAGTATTAGTCTATGTGCAGTGTTAGTCTATGGTGCAGTGTTAGTCTATGTGCAGTGTTAGTCTATGTGAGTGTTAGTCTATGTGCAGTGTTAGTCTATGTGCAGTGTTAGTCTATGGTGCAGTGTTAGTCCGGGTGCAGTGTTAGTCTATGTGCAGTGTTAGTCTATGTGTAGTGTTAGTCTATGTGTAGTGTTAGTCTATGTGCAGTGTTAGTCTATGTGTAGTGTTAGTCTATGTGCAGTGTTAGTCTATGGTGCAGTGTTAGTCTATGTGCAGTGTTAGTCTATGTGCAGTGTTTGTCCACATGCAGTGTTAGTCTATGTGTAGTGTTAGTCTATGTGCAGTGTTAGTCTATGTGCAGTGTTAGTCTATGTGCAGTGTTAGTGTATGTGAGTGTTAGTCTATGTGCAGTGTTAGTCTATGTGCAGTGTTAGTGTATGTGCAGTGTTAGTCTATGGGCAGTGTTAGTCTATGTGAGTGTTAGTCTATGTGCAGTGTTAGTGTATGTGCAGTGTTAGTCTATGTGAGTGTTAGTCTATGGGCAGTGTTAGTCTACGTGAGTGTTAGTCTATGGGCAGTGTTAGTGTATGTGCAGTGTTAGTCTATGTGTAGTGTTAGTCTATGTGCAGTGTTAGTCTATGTGAGTGTTAGTCTATGGGCAGTGTTAGTCTATGTGAGTGTTAGTCTATGTGCAGTGTTAGTGTATGTGCAGTGTTAGTCTATGTGTAGTGTTAGTCTTTGTGCAGTGTTAGTCTATGTGAGTGTTAGTCTATGGGCAGTGTTAGTCTATGTGAGTGTTAGTCTATGTGCAGTGTTAGTCTATGTGCAGTGTTAGTCTATGTGCATTGTTAGTCTATGGGCAATGTTAGTGTATGTGCAGTGTTAGTCTATGTGGAGTGTTAGTCTATGTGCAGTGTTAGTCTATGTGCAGTGTTAGTCTATGTGCAGTGTTAGTCTATGTGTAGTGTTAGTCTATGTGAGTGTTAGTCTATGTGCAGTGTTAGTCTATGGGCAGTGTTAGTCCACATGCAGTGTTAGTCTATGGGCAGTGTGTAAATGTTGAACTTCTTTCACACCGTACGTAGCCAACCGTTGCTAATTGGAGCAGCAGGGGAATGAGGAGAAATGTCACAACAACAACAAGAAGCAGTTTTAGAGAAATGAGTTTTCAGTCTAATATAGTGGAGTAGTGTATAGTAGTGTAGTGTATAGTAGTGTAGTGTTTAGTAGTGTAGTGTATAGTAGTGTAGGGTATAGTAGTGTAGTGTTTAGTAGTGTAGTGTATAGTGCAGTGTATAGTGTAGTGTATAATGTCGTGTATAGTGTAGTGTATAGTGTAGTGTATAGTGGTGTAGTGTATAGTAGTGTATTGTGTAGTGTATAGTAGTGTAGTGGTGTAGTGTATAGTAGTGTAGTGTTTAGTAGTGTATAGTGTAGTGTATAGTAGTGTATAGTGTATATTAGTGTAGTGTATAGTAGTGTATAGCATAGTGGTGCAGTGTATAGTGTATCGCAGTGTAGTGTATAGTAGTGTGTAGTGTATAGTGGTGTTAACAACAGAAACACACTGATCGCAGTCACCCACCCACTCACCCACTCACTCACCCACCCACTCACTCACCCACCCACTCACTCACCCACTCACCCACTCACTCATTCACTCACTCACCCACTCACTCACTCACTCACCCACTAACTCATCCACCCAACCACTCACCCAGCCACCCACTCACCCAGCCACCCACTCACCCAGCCACCCACTCACCCACCCACCCACTCACTCACTCACCCACCCACTCACTCACTCACTCACCCACCCACTCACTCACCCACTCACCCACTCACTCATTCACTCACTCACCCACTCACTCACTCACCCACTAACTCATCCACCCAACCACTCACCCAGCCACCCACTCACCCAGCCACCCACTCACCCAGCCACCCACTCACCCACCCACCCACTCACTCACCCACCCACTCACTCACTCATTCACTCACTCACCCACTCATTCACTCACCCACTCATTCACCCACCCACTCACTCGTTCACTCACTCACCCACTCACTCACTCACTCGTTCACTCACTCACCCACTCACTCACCCACCCACTCACCCACGCACTCACCCACCCACTCACCCACTCACCTACTCACTCACCTACTCACCCACCCATTCACCCACTCACCCACCCACTCACTCACCCACCCACCCACTCACCCACCCACACACTCAATCACCCACCCACACACTAACCCACCTACCCACTCACCCACCCACCCACTCACCCACCCACCCACTCACCCAACCACCCACCCACTCACCCACCCGCCCATCCGCCCACCCACCCACTCAATCACTCACCCACTCACCCACCCACTCACCCACCCACTCACCCACCCACTCACCCACCCACTCAGCCACTCACCCACCCACTCACCCATCCACTCACTCACCCACCCACCCACACACTCACCCACTCACCCACCCACCCAACAACAACAACCGCCATTCGCCACTAAGTGGCGGTGACGTCACCACGACGCTTGTGCCAGGCCATGTGCACCTTGAGGCCACGTGAAGTGTCGAACGCCTGTGGGCAGGAGGTCACGGGGCAGACCCAGGAGCCACGGGTCGACTGACTGAGATGACTGGCTGGTGCACCACCTGTGCCTCCTACTATGCCAACCTGCTGTGCTTTAGCCACCCGGCGCTCCGCTCGTTGTTGTGAGCGTCGCTCCTCCGCCCTCCGTTGTTGTTGGAGGGCGACTGCCTCCAACTGCCCAATAGCGTCCTTCACGAGCCTCCTCCACAGAGGCCAATCTTGACACCGCTGGTACCAGTCATCGGCAAGTCCACTCAGCTCCACGTCCTCCTGTACCACATCACTCCATCTCCTCTCTAGCCCATGCCGCGCCCGTTTAGCCCCCTCGATCCGGCCGAACAAAAGCTGTTTCGGCATGCGGTGGCTGGGCATGCGGGCTACATGACCCGGTCAACGCAGCCTTGCCTGCCAGAGGAGCTCACCGATGGGACCTTGCCCAGATCTTTCAAGGATATGTGAGCTCCTCACACAATCCAGCCTGGTTAAACCCAGGATGGATCGTAGGCAGGCCAGCCTAAATGTTTCCAACCGGCGAAGATGCTCCATTAAGGGGGTCCACGTTTCACAAGCGTAGAGAAGGGAGGGAATGACCTTGGCCGAGAAGACCTGAAGCTTAGTGCGGAGCGACAGACCAGGTAGCTTCCACACAGCGTTATGCAACCGATGCAAATATATTGCTGCTCGACTGATTCGGAGTGAGACCTCTGCTGTTAACCTGAAGCCGGTCATAAGCACACTGCCCAGGTATGGGAAACTCTCCACTCTCTCCACAACTGCCCCATCACCGATTGGGAGTTGTGGGGGTGGAGTGTCCGATGGTACAAAATACCCAGGCAGGTGCTTAGTTTTGGTGGGGCTGATGGTACGGCCCCACCTCTGAGTGGCACGCTCCAGTCTCAGCAGCAGCGTCTCCAACTCCTCCTCTGAATGAGCAGCTATTACCAAATCATCGGCATGCATAACGTGGTTGAGCAATAGGGAGCCATCCCTTGACCGCAACCCGAGCATCGATCAGCCTCCCATTATATCTGTACCAAATGGAGATCCCCCCGGTACAGCAATTGAATGCTTCACGAACTGCGTGGTCAAAATAGATGTTAAATAATGTGGGAGCCAGAGGACATCCCTGTCGCACCCCAAGGTGTACAGGGAATGGCTCTGACTCCCACTCATTCACCCACACATCCGCCCACTCAATCACCCACCCACCCACTCGCTCATTCGCTCATTCGCTCACCAACTTACTCCCCCACTACAGGTCACAGGAGCACACTCACCCCCTCACTGACCGTCCCACACTCGCACATCTGTGAAAGAGAGCTTCCTAACTCATGGGGATTCCTCCATGACCATCGATCAAGACTCTGAATCCCGACGTTTGCAGGTTAGGGCTGTGTCTTGGAGCCTTCGGCACCGAATATTCAGACCCCTCGCGCCTCCGGCGGGGTGGGAGACGCAGAGACGATGGGAGACGCGGGGACACGGAGGGGAGACGCGGGGACGCGGAGGGGAGACGCGGGGACACGGAGGGGAGACGCGGAGACACGGAGGGGAGACGCGGAGACACGGAGCGGAGACGCGGGGACACGGAGCGGAGCCGGGGTTGGAGCCGGGGTTGGAGCCGGGGTCGGGGGTGGCCCTGCTGGGCCACACGCCGGTGATGGTGAGGGAGGTGCTGGACGCCCTACGCCCGGCAGAGGGGCAGGTGAGAGGGGCAAGCACGTGACACCGCACGCAAATTCACAGGATGCGCACGTAAAGTTTGCAAAGTGAAATGAACTGCCGAGTTAACTTATTGTCGCAGGCGCCACGTGCATGCTTCTGTAGGTCTCGGTAATCATAAAAAAAAAAAAAACACGAGGCAGTGTGGGCCCATTAGCTTTCCATGGAGTGGCAAGCTAATCGGGCATATGGGCGGATCATCAGCGGGAATATCACCGCCCCAACTTGGCTGAACGGAAGACGGAGCATGCCCCACCCCAGCAAAGAAAATGACCATCGGCAGATCGGAGCCATCGAATAAGCAGATTGGCCCCAGTAGATGAAAGTTGCTCAAGCTCTGGTTAGAACCCGACGCGGCTTCTGCGAGGGGCAACGCCTTAACACCGCCGTGACGGAACGAACGCCCGCGGACTGATTCGAGCCCCGACGCTGGCTGTGAGGAACACGGCGGGGATGCCGGAAGGCAGGAGATTTAACGTCTTGTTGCTTACCCAACACGGCAAGCGGCTGGGCTCTCTGGTCTTAGCACCCCGGGGGGGGGGGGGTCGGATTTGGCCGAGAGCCCACCCCCCCCCCCCCCCCCTCCAGGCCCGGCACGCGCTGCAGTGTCGTGGAGAAGAGTCGAGCGGTGTTGTTGGACCGGAAGGAGAAGAACGTGGGGGGCGGGATAGGGGGGCGGTGGCGAGGAGGGAGACGCACCCCCCCAGATGGAGCCGCCGTTCTGCGGCTTCCGCGTGAGCCGTTCCTTCTCCACGGAGAGACGCCGCTTGGCTCGGGCCTCGCGATGAAGGGACACGCCGGCAGGGCCGTCTACTCCGGCGACGGTTGCCGCCCTCGCCCTAGGCCGTCCCGTGTCCGCAAGGTCTGGGAGGCTACACGTGGGAACTTGTGAGGACTGCGGACGGAACTTCCATAGTCCTCACCTGCCCGCCAACCCTAAACCCCGAGCATCCACGCCTCCGCCACTGGCGCCGGCGCCGCCGACCGCGGAATCCGTCCCTTCGTTCGCTTCCACGGAAACCGGCGGGGGCCGGGGCGTGGAGAGGGGCGAATGAATGCCAGTTTTGTGAAGCTAACATCGGCACGCTAGAAGAAGAGTGGCATGGATCAAACGGCTCGTCACCGCTGCCACCCGCACCCAACAAGGCTGAAGGCGGCGATCGCTAAAAACTCCCCCACCACAGCCGGACGAGATTGGGCGAGGCGCCCTTGAGGTGCACGGCGTGCGTGGACCGGATGAAGGCGCAGCCCTGAAGAAGGGCGGCAGAGACGCCGCCGGGTGTCTCTGCTATAGCTGGCAGTTGCACGATAATGGGGCAGAGAGAATGAGGGCAAAGGTTGGCGGACACCATGCAAGTAGGAGTAAGGGCGGGAGGGGAGGGGGCGGGCTTGGAATGTCGGCGTGTCAGGAAAAAACCTTAGCCAGGTTTAAGTAAAAGTTCACAGTACATTATTTCCTACGTAACGTTCGTGTTGGCGCTGTTCACCGTGAACTGTACCGGGCTTGCTCAAAACGTAAGCTAAACCGGGAAACCCCGGGTCGGAGAGGAAGGGAGATCCCGGCCGTCTTTGTCTCCCCGCACCGCGGGGTAGGAGTGTTGTATACGCTCGGGAAAGAAACACCTTCCCTTGAGTCAAACACCACGATGGGAAACGACAGACCTTGGGTTACATACCAAAATCATAACTGTGGAACTGTGACGAAATTAAACGTTAACTTAAAACTTTTTAACCATTCCCTTGTGCGTCGGGGACATGTTGGTAATCTCCACCGGCAGACCGAGAGGCGCCTTCGAGGCAATTTGTAACGTCTGATTGTTTTACTTCTTGGTGTTTTATGGAAGGAGGGTGACAACGGAATATACCGTGGATGATGCACACAAGGGCAAAGACAAAGATCCCCCATATAGCCTTAACAGACTGTAGGGGCAAGCACCAGACTGTAGGGGCGAGCACCTATGAAGGCCGGAACGGTACGCGAGGGGGTGGGTGGCCAGCACCACGCCCGACCGCCTTTGTCTCCCCAGTGGTAATGTTTACACACCGCACCAGGTACTCACTTGAGGCTGAGTCGACCTAGGGGAGGCCCGGGACCGGTTCAGATAATCGTCACTGGTGTTGGCCGTGAGCGGGAATCGAACCCGGGTCGCCAGGTTCATAGCGCAGCGTAGCGCTAACCGCTACACCACCACTCCCCACAAACAAGGACACACACTGACACACGTACAGACAGACATACATACGGAGAGATCCTGGCACGGCAAAAATCGAAAGAAGCCCCCGCCTTGTGGGCAGAATCCAAGTAAAGGGATTTTTGGCGTAAAAAGAGGACCCTGAGCATTGAAACCTCAGTTCGAACAGTTGGGTCGGAACTCGGGGGGAGTTCGGCCGGCTCACTGGAGCCGGCCCATCCGAAGACAGTTCGATCAGTTCAACCAGGGGGTCGGGACTCACCAGAGAGTTCGACCAGGGGGTCGGGACTCACCAGAGAGTTCGACCAGTTGGGTCGGGACTCGGGGAAGTTCGACCAGGGGGTCGGGACTCGGGGGAGTTCGACCAGGGGGTCAGGACTCACCAGAGAGTTCGACCAGGGGGTCGGGACTCACCAGAGAGTTCGACCAGTTGGGTCGGGACTCGGGGAAGTTCGACCAGGGGGTCGGGACTCGGGGGAGTTCGACCAGGGGGTCGGGACTCACCAGAGAGTTCGACCAGGGGGTCGGGACTCACCAGAGAGTTCGACCAGTTGGGTCGGGACTCACCAGAGAGTTCGACCAGAGGGTCGGGACTCACCAGAGAGTTCGACCAGGGGGTCGAGACTCACCGGAGTTCGACCAGGGGGTCGGGACTCACCAGAGAGTTCGACCAGTTGGGTCGGGACTCACCAGAGAGTTCGACCAGTTGGGTCGGGACTCACCAGAGAGTTTGACCAGGGGGTCGGGACTCACCAGAGAGTTCGACCAGGGGGTCGGGACTCACCAGAGAGTTCAACCAGGGGGTCGGGACTCACCAGAGAGTTCGACCAGTTGGGTCGGGACTCACCAGAAAGTTCGACCAGTTGGGTCGGGACTCGGGGAAGTTCGACCAGGGGGTCGGGACTCGGGGGAGTTCGACCAGGGGGTCGGGACTCACCAGAGAGTTCGACCAGGGGGTCGGGACTCACCAGAGAGTTCGACCAGTTGGGTCGGGACTCACCAGAGAGTTCGACCAGAGGGTCGGGACTCACCAGAGAGTTCGACCAGGGGGTCGAGACTCACCGGAGTTCGACCAGGGGGTCGGGACTCACCAGAGAGTTCGACCAGTTGGGTCGGGACTCACCAGAGAGTTCGACCAGTTGGGTCGGGACTCACCAGAGAGTTTGACCAGGGGGTCGGGACTCACCAGAGAGTTCGACCAGGGGGTCGGGACTCACCAGAGAGTTCGACCAGGGGGTCGGGACTCACCAGAGAGTTCGACCAGTTGGGTCGGGACTCACCAGAAAGTTCGACCAGTTGGGTCGGGACTCACCAGAGAGTTTGACCAGGGGGTCGGGACTCACCAGAGAGTTCGACCAGGAGGTCGGGACTCACCAGAGAGTTCGACCAGTTGGGTCGGGACTCGGGGAAGTTCGACCAGGGGGTCGGGACTCGGGGGAGTTCGACCAGGGGGTCGGGACTCACCAGAGAGTTTGACCAGGGGGTCGGGACTCACCAGAGAGTTCGACCAGGAGGTCGGGACTCACCAGAGAGTTCGACCAGTTGGGTCGGGACTCGGGGAAGTTCGACCAGGGGGTCGGGACTCGGGGGAGTTCGACCAGGGGGTCGGGACTCACCAGAGAGTTTGACCAGGGGGTCGGGACTCACCAGAGAGTTCGACCAGTTGGGTCGGGACTCACCAGAGAGTTCGACCAGGGGGTCGGGACTCACCAGAGAGTTCGACCAGGGGGTCGGGACTCACCAGAGAGTTCGACCAGGGGGTCGGGACTCACCAGAGAGTTTGACCAGGGGGTCGGGACTCACCAGAGAGTTTGACCAGGGGGTCGGGACTCACCAGAGAGTTCGACCAGGGGGTCGCGACTCACCAGAGAGTTCGACCAGTTGGGTCGGGACTCACCAGAGAGTTCGACCAGGGGGTCGGGACTCACCAGAGAGTTCGACCAGGGGGTCGGGACTCACCAGAGAGTTTGACCAGGGGGTCGGGACTCACCAGAGAGTTTGACCAGGGGGTCGGGACTCACCAGAGAGTTCGACCAGGGGGTCGGGACTCGGGGGCGTTTGACCAGGGGGTTGGGACTCACCAGAGAGTTCGACCAGGGGGTCGGGACTCACCAGAGAGTTCGACCAGGGGGTCGGGACTCACCAGAGAGTTTGACCAGGGGGTCGGGACTCACCAGAGAGTTAGACCAGGGGGTCGGGACTCACCAGAGAGCTCGACCCGGGGGTCGGGACTCGGGGGAGTTTGACCAGGGGGTTGGGACTCACCAGAGAGTTCGACCAGGGGGTCGGGACTCACCAGAGAGTTTGACCAGAGGGTCGGGACTCACCAGAGAGTTCGACCAGTTGGGTCGGGACTCACCAGAGAGTTCGACCAGGGGGTCAGGACTCACCAGAGAGTTTGACCAGAGGGTCGGGACTCGGGGGAGTTTGACCAGGGGGTTGGGACTCACCAGAGAGTTCGACCAGAGGGTCGGGACTCACCAGAGAGTTTGACCAGAGGGTCGGGACTCACCAGAGAGTTCGACCAGTTGGGTCGGGACTCACCAGAGAGTTCGACCAGTTGGGTCGGGACTCACCAGAGAGTTCGACCAGGGGGTCGGGACTCACCAGAGAGTTCGACCAGTTGGGTCGGGACTCACCAGAGAGTTCGACCAGGGGGTCGGGACTCACCAGAGAGTTCGACCAGTTGGGGTCGGAACTCGATCAGCGGTTCAAACCGGGAACGAGAGCAACAGGTCGCCAGCCGGCGAGCTGCAGAGCAGCGGGCGGCGAGCGGAGGCCAACGGTGGCC